CACGCGCGTTAATTTGCGCGTTATATTGTCTCCATGAAAAAATCTTGTTTAGCGCTAGTTTTTCTGATAAAGATTTACTTATATATATGTAAATTCGTTATAAAAACTTAGAAATGGGCAAAGAGGGTTCCGCAGGTGTCCGGGGGACCGGATCTGATAAATTTTTGCATTCTAGACATCAAAATTACTGCTCAGATGCTCTCAGAATGCACCAATTTTTTAAAAAAATCTTGGGGGAGGTCCCCCAACCCCCCCCCAAAGTGGCCTTCGGCAGCTTTTTAAAACACCAGAAAAAGTAAGCAAAAAAAAGTGCCCTTTATTTCTTCCTGGACACCCCTTTTCAAAAATTCTGGATCCGCCCCTGTTACAGCTAAGCTATCTACAATTACTAATGTAATATAACATGTGCAAAACAGATGTTACAATGGTAGCTATATCGAATTGTATTTACGGTTGTTTTGATAATATTTTAGGGGGTAACATTCGTCGCTGACATGCCAGCAAATCTGCTCACGCTCCGAGACATGACAAAAGATTTCGAGCTGACTGGCTTCACAGAGCAGGATAAGCTGCAGGAGGTCCAGAAGTATGCTGCGTTCTTGAGGAAAATTCTAGAGAGGCAATCCCATCTGGCTGAGACGTACGAAATTGTTGTCTACAATGGTAAGACTGTGTTGAAACTTTCTGTGTGAAAGCATTACACCACCACGACATAAATGTTAATTTTGCCGAAATTGTTAATAATACAGCAGATCACTAGAGAAGTGCAACGATATGATTGTGTGTTTTTTTTGTGGTGGGGGACAGGTAAGGGGAGAGCATTTACATGGAATGTGGGGTTCTTAGAAAGACCAAGTCCTGAGAGGTTTTATTATGTGGTGCTTCCTGAATGCAATTTGGTATTAGTTTGAGGGAATTATTTCAAATTTCAGGAAGAATGGCTTTGAATAGTATAGATTTCTAAGCATTTGCTATGAAGAAAAAATGTCTAGCAGTCTCACCCATCTTTAAGACTGTCCTAAATTTTAATAAGCAAAAAAACTTGTGATAATATAACATATATTGTTTTTGAACTTTTTACAGGAGATGCTGCAATGATGGATGCTGTTCAGCACTTTTTTAAAAATTGAGGCGAGGCCATGCATCCTTAAAAAATTTTATGTTTGCTGTCCCGGCCCCCGACCCATGATTTTTTTAGTGGGTAGGTTAGGTAGGTCTTTTTTTTGTGTGAGGCATAATATTTATTTTAAGTCTGTCCTCATGTTTGCCACACATGCTTTGTGTTTCAGTCTTAACTATGAGGAATGTATATGCACCTTCCAGAATATCAGTAGAAGAGTTATATTTTTATATATATTTATATGGTTCACAGTGCTTGCTTTAGCACTTTTCAATTTTGTACAAACCATTTTCACACCCAACAGTGCCATATCTTGTATCCGCCTAGAATGTTTAAGTTATAAATAAAAGTCCATAGCATTTCCTGATGAGAAATTAGATGTTATGTCAGTGTATATTTCTATTGATGTTACTTTAAGTTGAGTGTTAAATTGAAATTTCATTTCAGATGTCAGTGGGAGAAGGACTTGCCTATAACTACTATGTCGGCTACATAAATCTGGTATTGCTTAGTCTGGCTGATAGGATCCGCAGCAGTAAATATGGCCAAAGCACAACAAATAAGAAGTTGTTTATTCTAATCCCTGTTAATGGTGAGATGCCAGGAAAGCTGCAGGACGTCGACAAGAACATACGACAGGTTGGAACGTTAGATCCGTTGATAATAGACAGAGCTGGATTCAAAAGAAAGTTCCCCAACAACGTCTATGAAACAGTTCATAATGAAAAGGTAAGCACAAATGTCAAGTGGAAAGAGTTTGTTCATAGAAGTGAGGCCTCGATTCAAATCCCACATTTAAGAGTTACCGATTTAGAACTAGCTTGACGACTGCATGAGGGCCATCTAAAGGGAAATCTTTCTACATCTGGTTACTATAAACTTCAGTAATCACGTATCAGTGTAATTAGATGCAACTACAGGAATGTGTTATTAATATGATTACTACATGGATATTAATAACTGGTGTATAAATAAAGTATGCAAAGTGGCACTAATGTATTATATATGGTGTAACGTAGGTTTGCTACACCAGTGTTGGTTGAAAGAATTTAGAGTAAAAGAATCAATAAGAGTATATAATTTGTGTTCAACTAAAGATATTATGTTTACAAAACAACCGGCCACTACACAGTACACGTCCGTCGTCTCTGTCCCCTCGTCTTTCTCTCCCGTTGCAACTCCGCTACCTTGTATTTATATTCCTCTCTGCTCCAATCACCAACAAGCTCCACTCTACACAACCAATCACGCATAACTACCATCTCTTTGTTCATTCAAATAATTCCCGCCATAACCCTACTCTATCCAAATCCTACATCTGCATAAATACATGTAGCCTGTCTAGACAACTGTCTAAACTACGTACCCTACATGCTAAACGCTCAACCCTACTCCTGTTCTATGCTATTACAGCCAGGGGCGGATCCAGAGGGGGGGTCGAGGGGTCCGGACCCCCCCTTCTTACCACAAAAAAGGGGGAAAACATACACACACGCGCGCATGCATGCACGCACGCGCGCGCGCGCACACACATACCCACACTTTTCGTATATTGTCTCCATAAAAAAATCTTGTTTAGCGCTAGTTTTTCTGATAAAGATTTACTTATATATATGTAAATTCGTTATAAAAACCTAGAAATGGGCAAAGAGGGGTCCGCAGGCGTCCGGGGGACCGGATCTAGCGCGAAATTTCTGACTTGTGAAATATATGAGATAACCCCCCCCCCGCGCCTATGCGCATGCGCACT